ATCTGGTTGTGGTGTAGAACCGGCTGTGAAAATAGTGTTGGCTAAAATGGTTTCTATAGTCGTAAGCTGCTGACTTATTTTGTATTGGATGATGAACTGAGCTGGAGCCCCCCAAATACGGTGGCGCTTTACATATATATGCAGCCAGTGGCGCGATCATATATTTTTTAAGAAAATTCCAAACGCATATATGCAGCTAATTGGTTGCATGCGGCATAAGACTCCTGGTGAGAAGGGAGGATATACAGGGACAGTTTACCCATTCTACTCCAACCCATGCATCCATGATTCGTTGATTCTATAAACAAGGAGCCAAATGTTACCTATGTTTCCTATAAATGATTGTCATTGATCAAAAGCTCCATGCTTGAACACGTCAGGAGAATTATTTGTGGCAGGACGTCCGGGAGATGGTCGCCTTCACAAGAACATATATAAACAACCTATATGATTGTGCTTTGCTAACTGCTACTTGCCGAATTCTGATCTATTGGCACTCATTCCTCGCATGACAATATGGTACTATTATATAAGCTGAACCACAGGTACTTCCTCCATCCACGAAGAATGTAACTATAAAAGAACCATACCGGTCAAACTAGTTAAGTTTGACAAAGTTTATAATAAAAATAATATTAGCATTTATGTTTCTAAATAAATTTATTACCAATATATTCTGTAACTAATGTAATGATACTTATTTTGTCTCATGAGTGTTAGCTTTTTTCATATAATTTTAGCTAAAAGTTTAAATTATTTAACTTCTCAAAATGTAGAAATTACACATTCTTTTATGAACGAAAAGGTAGTACACACTTGTACTTTACCACCAATCATCGATATGGACTGGTTTCTGCTCTTCAAATATTTTCTTGTTCCTCTTTGTCCAGCTTATTGTGTATATATATATGCATCAAGTCTTTCTCTCTCTCACACTTCTTGTTCCTCTTTGTCAGCTTATTATGTATATATATACATCAAGTCTTTCTCTCTCTCTACACGTTATCTCCATCTCTAAAAGAATGTCATTCTAAGCTTTTTCGATGAGTTAATCAATATATTCTCAAGTTTTACTAATATATAAAAGAGAACTAATATCTATGATGCATAATATATTTTATAATAAAATATTGGAGATGCAAATATTGATACAATTTTCTATAAACCTAGAAAATTTTAAGAAAGGGATTGATTGAGTTCAAATCTGGGATTGCATTCTTTTGGGATGGACACTACTGCAATAATAAGGGTTTCAAGAGGCACGGTGTCCGCCCACCTCTAACAACAAATCTTTGTTAATCAAGAACACCGGAATGAGCAAGAATGCCTACCTCTAGAAATCTAGGAAAAAATAAAAAACAAGCTACCCCTCCTTACCCGAACCCTGCCTCTCAGCATACTTGTGAGCCTGCCTCTAAACCCCTAAGCCCGTTGGCCTCCTTCCATGCCCGTGCCACCTCGTCCAAAGGAGATCCACGGCCAACGTTGTCCCTAACAAGCATACCCCCCCCTTAGATATCTTCCACTGATGTCATCCGTCTCCTCAAAGGAGATCTTCCTGCTGTCCTCCTCCTCTAAGCCCACAGATCTAAGAGGAAGAGGAGTAGGGAGCCTACAGATCTGAGAGGAGAGAAATAGGGAGGCGACAGATGAGGGGCTCACCACCTTGAGGAAGGTGGCCATTGCTCAGATCCTCATGCTGCATGCTTAGACATCTAGCAGGGATGACCTCGTGGCGTGAAATGGGAGTACAATATATGCGCCATGTGCACCAGGAGGAGAGACCCAGGAGAGAGAGAGAGAGAGAGAGGGGGGGGGAGGGTGATGAGTACTGAGCCTATGGGGAGGGGTGATGGCCGGTCGAGTGACTTAGGGTGTGGATGGATGCATATATTCTAGGTGTGTATATGGGATTGAGGAAATGGGCCTCGAAGAGTTTTCGTTGATAGAGATTCTAAAAAAAATGGTATTTATTTTAAGAGGTAGACCTCTTGAAGCTTGTCTCTTTGAATCAATTTTTAGAAATGGGTTATTTATCGAACTGTCTCTGTAAATGAGCGGACTGCCCGTGCTATGAAGTTCACTGTCTATTTGAAGAGAGGATGCCAATTTGTGACCACCTATGTAAATAAAAGACATGTCTCCTACATATAAACTTGATTCTTTACAATTGTCTTGCAACAAGCCCTATTTTGTCATCTAGCAAAAACAGTAAGCTTGATCGATCTTTAATTGACTATTTATGAAGTATTTTTCACCATTCATTGGGCCAATCTAGCTCGATCATAGCATATATGCTAAATTGCAGAAATGTCATATCCTATATAATGCTAACTAACCTATCCATTTATCATTGGCAATAAATTAAGCCTGTTTTTTTTCTTGAGACATTTATACATGGCTACAAACATGGCAGCACGAGTTATCAGATAGTTTAGCTTTCTCAGCATCAGCCTACTAGTAGTAGGATAACAAATGCTCTCTCTCTTTCCATGTAGGAGGCAAAGAAAAACATCAGGCATATTGCATCGGTCAATATATGGTGTATTCCTAGAACCTCGAGTAATCTAGTATTGCTAGTGGTAAAGCATAATCTTGAATATTTCGACATTTAACCAAACAGGACGATGAGCGTAAATAATTAAGATGTGACTAGATGAATCATTCAATAAACAGTGTAAGCATATAATGCTAGCTAAATTTTAGCCATGAATGT